TCCACACCCACACTTCCTCCTCTGGGAAAAGAGGGATAACAACAGTGCCTGTTTCACTGCATGGTTGCAAGATTGAAAGTCGATATAAAAAACACACATCAAGCACTCAGCACAGTACCCTGCACACAGCAAGTGCACAATAAATGTTAGCTGTTAGGATGATTAGGCCAGCAGTGGAGGGACTGGTGAGCAGGACCACTTGTCGAAAGCAGCCCTTCTAAGGAAGCTTGAGAGTAAGCCACTTTCCCAGACCAAGGGTTCCCGGGAATTGCTAGTGATGTTGCTGCCTGGGGTAACAGGAAGGAGAGAAGGCAATTATACAGTGTGTAACGAAAATAATTTCATTTCTAATGCCTTTCCCCTGCTGAGCCACTTAGAATTCAAACAATGACAACAAGGCGGGGGTGGAAATGAGCAGGGCAGGCACATTCTGAAGGAGCCCAGTGACGGATGGATGGGCCCCAGAACTCACTTTGGCTCACAGACGTCTGCAGGGGAGTGTCCTCGGGGCCATGGCACCTGTCCTTGGGGCCATGGCTTGCTCTGTGCTGAGCCGAAGCACCCTGGAATGCCCGGCTGCCCAAGCTGGGGATGGGCCTATTGATGGGCCCCTGGGGGCTGAGTCTGCTTGATTTCACTTCTCATCCTCTGTCTGGGAGCAGGCTGACATCACTCAGAGTGCTCCAGGGAGAGCCAAGGGTCCTCCCTCTTTCCCCTACCCATCACTGTAGACAGCCAAGAATTCCCCTGTCTCCTCTTGGAAACCGTGAACATCCCTGCAGGTGCCATCAGATTATAGCAAATTGCCCAAACTGCACCAAGCTGATGTCTTATACATACGTGTTTAACATCCACCTTTTCTGGGGGCCCCCAAAGAGATGACTTCTTCTCAGCTCCCATCCCCGTACACTGCCTCCCACACTCTCAGATGCCCCATGCCCCGGTGGCCTCCAGGTCCGAGTCTGGGGCATTGCAGCAACACAGCCTCTTCCACCCAGGGGAAGGGGGGTCCCCAGGCCCCAGTGCTGTCATCTCTGGCTCCCCCCTGTACACTGGAGCCAGTGGGAGGCTCTGCTCCTCCAAAGAGAAGCATTCCCATGTCTCCTAGGGAGAGAGGAGGCTGCCACCCCTCCACCCCAGGGGACATCCCAGCTGCCAAGGGTGTTGATTTAACCCATTTATCAGGTTGAAGTGAAAGGCACAAGAAGGGGGGAAATGTACAGTCCAGAAGGGCAAGTTTCTCTTTTCTCTGGACCCAAACTAGAACAAACCAAGTGGCTGAATCTTGTAGTTTTACTCCTCCACCCACATGGACTGACACTATAATCAAGCTATTTTCCACACCTATGCATTTAAATAATACAATCCTATTGTTTAAAAAAATAAGAAAGCAATCTTCAATTACAATGGTGATAGGGACAGTTGAGAGGCAGGGGTGTATTAACGTTGGATTCTAACACTATTGGAGTAATTTAAAAGGTTGGAGAGAATATCAGCCGACCACCCAGAACTGGTAAATAAGCAACTTGCACACCCTGGGTGGCACCATTTAGTATCCTGGAGAGCTGGAGAGCTTATGCATAATCCCAAAGCCAAATCTTAGAGTCGTCCCAGGGCCATAAGAGGCCCTACTGGGGGCGAGGGAGGGGAAATATGGTGCTGGGTTCAGCAGAGAGAGGCCAAATACAGTTAAAGGTACCTACCGAGGAGCTGACCAAGCTGTGCCCTTTAGGTTGCCTGTGGCTTCCAAGCATTTCCTAGATGCAGGATGCTCTCCTGCTAAGCAGATCTCCTAGCAGGATGGAGAAGCTTTGGTTGCCAAGACCACTCCCAGTGGCTTGGGACAAGAAAGCTTACACCACGCCTTTTGGGGAGCACTTTGGTAACAAGAGAGAGAGCACCATATTTCTGGACTAAGAGAAAAGCTGCCCTGTTTAGGGGTGTGGAGCATCCAGAATGACCTCTGGAGCCCAAATAATCTAAGGATTTAATGTCTTGGTAATGATGTCCTGGGGGAAATGGGACTGACTAGGCAGCCATGCTAAGTCCTTCTCAAGACCTCAAATCTTAGGTTACTGTGATCCATGATAGGCAACCTGACTCTGGGAGATATAGGTTTGGGGTTCTGAAATTATAAAACCTCAATGTTGATTCTCCTCCCCTTTCTGAGTGGCTGAAACACCTTCACTGCTGGAGAATCACAGGTATGGAGCCACAAGGGAGGGAGAAATGGGGGTTGGCAGATCAGAAAACATGAGTCACTAGAAGGGACAGGGTTGGCTCAAGGAAGTCTCATTATCCACCCCCCCCCCCACACCACCACCAAACCCCTCACAAACTCTGTGTTATTTTCACAGCCATGCTTCTTCCTCAACACCAAAATACAACTTTCATTTGCAGGGACGATGAAGACAGCTCTCTCCAGGCCAAGTCCACGCGTCTTTCCCCTTACACATGTTTACCCAGAGAACAGTGACCTCAGACCAGTCTAGCTTCAGCACGTCGATCTCAGGTGAATATGAGGCCACGTTTTTTATGAGACCCTGAACTCCCTTTGTTTCCCCTGGTAGGAACAGAGCGTTTCTCTCAAGTTCAAATTCTCCTACATCACTGCACGTTCTAGATAGAGATAATCCAACCTTGTGGGTAAAGGTACAAAACTGACTAGCCCACAAGCATTGTTACTGGCCTTAGTCACCCCTACAAGCTTGCTAGCTTATAGAACACAAGAACCAAATCAATACAGTCAATATGTCACCGCCAGCAGAGCACGAATAGCTACCAGCCTTGGGGAACATGACGTGCTACTAAGCTGAACTAATCACTCCTTGGCATTTCAAGAGCAGTTGGGTTAGCAGACCACAGCACATACATAATGAAAGACAGTAATTCCCCCAGAAGGGGAGGGTAAGAGGTTGGCCCCCAGAGGAGGGCAGTTACTATTTACACAGGTCAACCTAAAGCCATATTGGTGATTCTTAGAGGCCAAAAATCTGTTTTAGAAATAAGAAAACACCAGGAGGATCTTGGGGGAGAGGAGATAGGGCTGCATACTTTATTTCGGCAAAGGGATTGAATCCAGGGGTCGACCCTCCATCAACAGTCCCACACCTGAAAAACTTAACATGATAAACAGCAGGAGGAAAAAGAGTTGATTATAAAGACCTGAATCACGCTCCCTCTAGTCAAAGAAGTATGAACTTTTATGAGAGATGATTTCTTAACCTGCGTACATATGAATCACCCAGAAATATTGTTAAAATATACATTCCTGGGTCTCAGCTTGAGATTCTCATTCAGCAGTCCTTCAGAGAAGAATAAAAAAATATCCATTTTTAACCAGCTTCCCAGGTGATTCAGAGGCAGGGAGTTCATTAAAACAGAAAACAATGGCTAAAGAAATGCTGCCCCGGACCTATATAACAAATCAGAATCTCCCATTTTCCTAGCACCTTTCATCCCCAGGCTGTGCAGAAAAGGTAGAAGGAACTCAGAATGTTTTTCAAGAGACCAAGGCTGGGGTTACCATGGCCCTCTCTCAGATCTAGGTCTAACTCTCTCTGATGTCTTCCCTGTCAGATGTCCAATTTCAGAGATAGCATCAAATCCCCTCCCCCAGCCCCCGGTCCCTATTGGATATGCCAGGAATCTTGAACATGAAGCAAAGAAGTCAAAGGCAGGGACCCAGCAAATCAGCCCACTAGTTCTCTTGCAACTGGTCACATTCGCCAAGGCCTCCCTCTGCCCTCCCTCATTAAATAGCAGCAACAGGGGGAAACATGAGGAGAATGAATTCCCTTTCAAGTGGTCCTAATGCTGCAGGATGAATCAGGGATAGGCTGAATATTTGCATCCCAAGGGGAAGAATCACTGATCACCTAGCTCCTGGGAAGGAGCCAGGATTAGCCTGAGAGGTTAACATCCTGGTCAAAATCCAGAAATGATAGGATCTGCCGAAGGAACTGGAGAGGGATCCTCAAAGTGCCTTGCACTTCACCAACCTCAGCAGCCCCCAGCACAAAAAGTAGTGGGGTGCCAGATGGGGCAGGGTTACTTGCTCAGATAGCTTCCCTGTGGCTGAGAACAAGGGCCTGTCCCTACGGAGCTTCAGTGCTGTGACTTGTGTCCATGGCGAAGCCTGTTGTGTAGACGCACACGCACTCTCTTACCTCTGTTCTTCAAGAGGAACCACACACAGGCCGCCTGTGCAGGCAGGGATGGGGACGCGCTCCGTCTTAGAGCTGTCTCTTGTCTCCGCACACGACCCTATCGAGGCTCTTGGTCCACTCCAGAGTCGAACAGTCACCCTCTGCTACTGCCCCAACCGTCACCCCCATTCCCAGGTCGAGATGGGTCCAAAACCCCAGCCTCCCTCCTCTACAGGATCTCAAACGGAGAGATGGCGAAGGAGAACGTAAATTCAGAACCAAGGACAGCGGCACATCAGGTAGTGGGAGAGTAGAGGCGGAATCGGCCTCTCCCCCATCCTTGGCTTCTGAAATTGAAAAGTCAGGTCGCGCAAATGCAGACTTGCCAAGAACAACCCTTCTCCCTCCGAGGAGATCGGAGACTCTGGACGCGCGCCCTGGGGTCCCCGGACTTGGGTGCCGGGCAGAAAGTGCCCTCCGGAGATCGTCGGGAACCGGTCGCCCTGCGAAGCCTCGGCTAGGCAGGGCTGGCTCTCCGCGCTCCGCGGGGAGGCTGCCCCGGCACCGCCCGTCCATGCCCGGAGCGAGGAATCCCGCCCCGGCAGCGCGAGGGATGCCGAGAGGGAGGGAGAGGGGATGACAGCGCTGTGTTCCTGTCGCCCCAGGGCAAGCGGCCCGTCGGAGAGTCTGTGGAGAGCCTGACCGCAAGCGGGTCGGTCCCAGGCAGACGGCACCAGAGTGGCCGGACAAACTTCTGGTCCCAGTCGCGCCGCCCTCCGAGCTCCCTCCTCCTCTCCCTGAGACCTGCCTGGGTCCCGGCCGCCTGTCGCTCCATCCTGCGCGCGCTTACCTTCAAGCCATAGGGCGCCCGGGGGCAGAGACGGCGCCGGCTGCTCGAGGCTTCCGGCTCCCGCCGCATCCACGCGCGGCCGCGCCTCTGGCAGCCGTCCGGGCCGCCGCTCTCCTCAGCGGGTCCCTGACTCCCGGCCCCGCCGCGCGGTTCAGAGCCCCGGCGGGCAGGCGCTTGGCCGGCTCCGGCCCGCGGGGAGCAGTGGACCGGCCGCGGCGGGGCGGGGCGGAGCCGGGCGCGGGGCCGGCGTGCAGTGCAGGGACAAGGCGCGGAGGCGGCGCGGTGCGCGCGGGAGGCGGCCGGTTCCGGCACTGAGGCTGGACGGCTGCGCAGCGCCGGAGCACCAGGGCGCCGGAGGGAGGGGGCGGGGCCGCCTGGCCACGGGGGTGCCCTGGGGCCCCGCCCCTGGGACAAGCCCCGCCCCGCCACACTGCGCGCGGGGTGGGGCGGGGGGTGCGGGCTCGGTGCGCCTGGGTCTGCGGGGAGCAGCCGGCGGGCAGCGGATGGAGTCAGCCCCGGCTTTGATGCAGATGGGAGCCGAGGCGGGAACTGAGTGGTCGACTGCCCATTGCGCTCGCCCCATACCCGCAAAGTGAGACCCTGTATATTCAGGGCTGCGGGTGACCAAGCATCCTCATCATCTGCTTGTCATTTCCCTCTGAGAAGTCAGAGGATAATGATTGGGGGAGGCGCCGCCCATCCAGGGAGTTGTGTAAGGAGGAGCGGTCAGGGTCCGTTTACAGAGCTCTGGTCTTGGAACCCCTGGGGTCAGTTCTGTTGCTTGACTCTTTCAGGGGAAAGCCTGCTTGGAGTTGACCTGAAGTGGAAATTCAAAAGGGGACCTCTGGGGTTCCAGCTCGCCCTTGACTACAAAGGGAGGTGGAGTCTTCAGCAATCAGTTTTTGACTGTCCTCCAGTTTGCCAAGCTCTGTCTCAGATTCCGGGTTCACAGAGAGGAATAAAACCAGGTCCGTGCTCTCATGCAGTGGAGACCTCCAGGAAACATAGCACAGCACCACAGCACCCGTGGCTTAACCAGGTGCCAGGGGGCACAAGCAAGGGAGACCTCATGGGGACTGGCACTGAAGAAGCAATACCCGTTCCCAGGGGGGAGAAGGCAGCACCGCATTCCAGGCCGAGGGAACAGCATGGATAAAGAACGGACTGTGCATAGCAGGGAGTCAGTCCATCCCCGCTGGAGGCAAGCCACTCTGAGCCACAAAGATTAAGTTTGTATTTCTTCCAGTGACCCACACAATCACAGAAGGGCCTGAGCACTCCTCTAATCCCCCCCCCTCATCGCTCTAGAAGGGGGAACTGAGGCCCAGAGGATTGGAGTGCCCTTCCAGATTCCACAGAGATCCAGAGCTGGGCCAGTCTTCCATCTGCGAGGTGCACACCAGCATTTTTCCCAAATACAGCCATCTCTGGAGGCAACTGGGGAAGGGGAGAAGCTGTAAGTGGGCACCTAGTGCCTCTTCCCCTGCTCCCTGCCTTTGGCACTATCTTGTGGATCTGGCCTGGCTCCCATTCATGCAGGCTTGATAGGGAGATATTCTAGCAATCAGAAATCCCAACATTTTGCTCTATTTGCTTTTAAAGCAATGAAACATTGCAGATATCCTTGAAATCTCAGTGTTTCCTCTTGGCTCCTCCTAGGCCATTATTTTTCAGGTTTAATCCACTTAAGGAAGGATGTGGTGCCTTCTAGCTCAGCACCTCTCTACCCATCCAGGGACAGCCACCCAGTAGACAACCACCCCTCTCCCGACTAGTCAGAGGACCTGGATGGGCGTCCTGCCTCTGTCACATAGCAGTTGTGTGACCTTGGCTAACAAGTGGCTTACTATCTGAGTCTCACTTTTTCCATCTTTACATTGGGGCTAAGAAGACCATTCTCTTTGGACAGCATTGCAGATGATAGATGAGGAAGTGTTAGACAAACTGTAATCTGGGCACACTCTGGCTGGTCTGGGGTGGTGGGTGGGGGAGATAGCCTTGCTCCCTCAGGAGGCAAAAGGGGAGCAACATGACCTCCACGGGGTGCACCAACCCAAGGGCACCGTAGCTCCCTGCTCCTACTTTTTACTCCAGTCTTGCATGGCTGAGTGGATTTCACGCTGGCTGTGAGTGAGACGGATGGATCTTTTAGTTTTCAATTAGCAAATGCCTCGCTCTTTAAACAAGTGGCACAGCAAACAGATGCACTGAGTGATTGATGACAGGGAGCATCTGCGGCCAAGCGGCAGGCGGCTTCCTGTAGGCTCCCGCTTCCCAGGCTGCCAGAGCCCTCTGGAGGTCATTCTCCACTTCCCCTGCCTCCAGGCAGAACTGTAACCAGTCCAAGTAGGCCAGGCAGGGGCAGGATGGCCCTTTTCTGTATAGCTTTCCTGGAAAAGGGGACACGCGAGCCTTTTTGACGTTCTCATATATATGTTCCTGAACCTCGGTCAGGAAGTTCTTCCTGATGTGCTACCTAAATTCTTTATTTGTACCTTTTTATTGTTGAAAGTGCTAAGCCAATGGTTACTAATGGGTGTTAGGGATAGAAGATGGGTTGAGACAGGGGCTGGTTTTGCTGGCCCACGGTAATGAGGAAACAAAGGACTGAGCCAACAGAGAATGAGGAAGATCTAGAACTTTCCCCTGTGTTCTAAGAGCTATCCCTGAGATAGAAAATGAAGCCTGGCTGGAGCTTGGAAGAAGAGTCCCTTGCTGGTCTCTGTCAAACTCATGCACCCACAGACAGGCACAGCAGCCCCCCTTCTGAGAAGTTTTCCACAGAAAGCAAGGGAAATGTCATCATGGAGGAGGGGGGAGTCAGAAGCAGAACAGAACTGGAGTCACATGGGACTTTGTTCATGTCCAAACTCCTGTGTCTTGGGAAAGCTCTGAATATCTCTGAGCCTCAGTTTGCTCAGCTGTAAAATGGGTTGGAGATCCATATTGCAGTGTTAGCATGAAGATTAAGCAGAAATGACAACCAATACATCCTGGTGCTCGATCCATGTTGCCCATTTTCCCCTCTTACAGAAAACTGAGCTAGAGAAGCACTGAAAGAAATGCAGACACTCTCTATGTGGTGTTCCAATTCTAGATTTCCTAACCTAGTTCGCAGATGAAAACTGAACCCCTGTTTTCTTTCTTTTTCTTTTTCTTTTTTTTCAAACTCTGGTAATTTCTTCTTCTCTCCTTCTCCCCTCTTTTGTCGTTTAATTTTTAACCCATTTGCAAATAACTCTGAGAACAATAAGGTGGCAGTCCTTCTGGGTCAGAGGAGGTATTGGGCAAAAAGAAAATAAACACACCCTTTTTATACTTTATTATTTCTCTCCAAGTGCCAAAAATGTTAGAGAGGGACAGGAGTATTGGTCACCCATGCTGCTGAGAGAGCCACAGTCCCACATCTGAGTGATCCAGTGAGGGAGGTTAGGGCGCCCGAGGGAGGGGTGGGAAGGAGACGATCCTCTTAAAAGGACAGAGGTTCAGGGTACTGTCTCTGACCAAGGCAAGAGAGCAGAGGGAGTTACCTGAGAGTGTTGACCTCTGCCTATGTATTCACCCTTAGAGGATGATGTCCTCACTCGAAGACTCTACTGGGTTTGTCCACATCCATGTGAAATGGACATTTGCAGATATTCTTTGCATCCTCCTATTTTGAAACAGTAAAGAATACAGGTGGGCTCACTTTAAGAAAGTCTAGAATTCTTCAGAATTACAAAACAGATAAAGTGTAAATACCCATATTATAAATTTATTTAATTGCCTGACAGGAAGAGGTCATAAAAACATACACATATTTGCACACCCATATTCATAGTAGCATTATTCACAGGAGCCAAAAGGTAGAAGCCACCCAAGTGTCCATTGAATGGTGAGTGGATAACCAAAGGTGACCTGTACGTACAATGGAATAACCTGGCTGCAAGGTGCAGGTTTTCAGCACTTGGAGAGAAATCATAAAGTATCAAAAGGGTGTGTTTATTTCTTTTTGCCCTACACCTCCTCTGGCCCAGAAGGACTGCCACCTTATCATTCTCAGACACATGGCAAAAGGAGTAAGCACAATCCTGTCACATGTAACAAGATGCATGAAACCTGAGGGCATAATGCTAAGTAAAACGGTCTGGTCACAAAAGGACAAATACTGTGTGATTCCACTTATGTAAGGTACCTAAAGAAGTCAGAGTGGACTGGCGGTTGCCAGGGGCTGGAGGGAAAGGTGAATAGGGAGTTTGTATTTAAAAGGTACAGAATTATGGGGCGCCTGGGTGGCTCAGATGGTTAAGCATCTGCCTTCGGCTCAGGTCATGAGTCGGGCTCCCTGCTCAGCGGGGAGGCTGCTTCTCCCTCTCCGTCCACCTGCTGCTCCCCTTGCTTGTGCGCTCTCTCTGTCAAATAAATAAATAAAAAATCTTTTTAAAAAAAAGGCATGGAGTTTCAGAATGGGGATATGAAAAAGTTCTGTGGGTGGATGGTGGTGGACAGGTGCACAACAGCATGAATGTACATCATGCCACTGAACCACATGCTTAATAGTGGTTAAGATGGTAAATCATGTGGTGGGTATTTTACTGCAATAAAAAATAAAGAAACCTTGTGTTTCAGTGGTTACTGCAGTTGCACTATGTGTGAAAGCAAAACAAAACATCTCGGAAATGACCAGGTAGATACGTGGGAAAGTGTTTGAACTTAGAAAACAATCCATCTACATAGAACTTCTGAAGTTGTGTCTGGGGAAACACAACTGGTACAGCCTTGGATTTCATCTGCCTTTTCTGTAGCTATTAAAGCCCTTTCTTATCAGTGGTCTCATTTACCTCCTAGTAGCTTTGTGATGTCAAGAAGACCAATTTCAGAGAGCCCTGAGAAGGTTCTTAAAGCTCCCCACCTTCCAGAAGACAGGAGCAGACAATAGAATTCGGATGATACTTTTCCACTAGTTTGCAAATGCAAGGACCATTCCACTGCTCAGGTTTTGAATGGAGTGGTGCAGCTCAGGGAAAGCTCTCAATAGTGAAAAAAAGCTCAATCCAGGTTTTCTGCATTGAGGGTGAGCCAATCAGGAGCCGAGGTATTTTTAGTCTCTAAGCCAACCAGGCAGCGTTTGGGATTCTCATCTTCACAAGCTGCTCCCCTGCATGTGTTTGCTGTGGCTGAGGACCGAACCCGGCTGCTCATGCCCTCCCAGCCTCTGAGACAGTCAGGGTATCCGGCAGAGAGAACATGGACGGAAGAAACAAATAATTCAGGCCGTTTTAGCAAAACAGGAATTCAGCAAAAATATTGTTAATAGCTCACAGAATCACAGGGGAGATTAAAGAACCAGGCTTGTAAAACAGACAGGAACAAAAGAGCTAGATGCTATTAGATCTTCAGCTGAAATCGAGCCCACGCCGCAGTCCAGTGAGAGCTCAGTTATTGCAGGTAAAACACAGCGCACCAGGTGTGTGGCCGGGCCACGGGGGCTGGCAGC